TTGTCTCTCTCTCTCTCTCTCTCACTCTCTCTCTCTCTCTCTCTCTCTCTCTCTCTCTCCCACTAATTTTGGAGTGGTTCAGGCCACCGAGATTGGTAAAGCTGTGAATGCATTGCGGAAGCATCAGTCAAAGCAAATTCGCCACATAGTAAAAATGCTCATCAAGTGAGTTGCTTTACTACTCTCTCAAGGCTTACAAATCCATTGTTTTCATTGCTCTTTAAATTGTTGATGTACTAGTTTGGTTGGAAATTCTTTGCATGGTTTAGTTTCTGATAATTTGGATTGTGTTTTATGAGTTTCAGTGGTTGGAAGGATTTGGTGGATGAATGGGTTAATACAGCAACTGCGATGACAGGTTGCTCTCTCTCTCTCTCTCCCCCCCCACCCCACCCCACCGCACCCCACCCCACCCAACCACACCACACTGGTGGGTCAGTTTGCTGATGAATTAATCTTATTAGCAGGTGGCTCACCAGACTCTGTTAAGCCTGCTGTTGCTGAGGAGGAAGAGGAAGAAGGCCTTCCATCTCCCCCACTTGATGAGGGAGCTTTCTTAGCTACTCAAACTACTTCAATTGAGCTTTCTCAGGTACTTCCTCTCTTTTGCTTCTTTTAACTTGTCATGGGGGGGGGAGAGCACTGGCGATTTGGGTTTGTTTTGAATCATGTTTTTGTACCGTTAGTTGTAAGCTGATTGATGTCTGAGCTGATTCTTTTCATTTCTCATCTGTGTTTGTCTTGCTCTTGGCGACGTGAAGTTCTTCGATGGGATGGACGATGATGGAAGTAAGTGCATTTCATTTGTACATTGTCAATTATATTGAATTGATCATTTCCTTTCTCTTGTCAATTTCTTTGTGAACTATGGAATTCTCTCCCTAAACTTGCCATCTCTCTCTTTCTCAGACCCACGAAGCAGCATGGAACTAGGGAAGAATCCTGAGGCCCAAAGGAAGCCTAACTCAAATCTCAGAAAACCTCAGGAGGAAGAAAGAAAACCAGACTCAAATTCCAAGGTTAACTATGATCTTGGAAGAAAACCAGAATTGGTAAAGCTCTCAAAGAGGAAAGAAGAGGAGAATTTGGGTAAAAAGGAGGACCATAGCCAGATTAGAAAGCTAGAACCAGTAGATGTCAGTAAGCAAAACGGGCCCTCAGGACCGGGAAGACCCCCTAAACTAAATCCAGAAAGTAAGCCCAATGGAGTTCTTCCTATGTTGCAGCAAAGATCAAATGCTTTGGGATCCCAAATGAGACCTTTGCCAAATTCGCTAGATGTAAGTGTTCACAAGGTGCTATTTCGGATCTTCGTTTTTAAGGTTTCTAGGTCTACAGCCCTCTGATTTCTTCTCTCTCTCTCTCTCTCTCTCTCTCTCTATTTATTGGTTTCCTTTTAGAAACCCAAACATTCAGAGGATGTTTCTGTGAGGTTGAAATTCGAGGAGGCAAAGCGGAAGCTCCAAGAAGGGTACCAACAAGCTGAAAATGGTCAGTTTTATCACATTGTTTTTATTTGAGCAATTTTGCTTGATTAAGCAAACTTTCCTGATATCTTCTTTCTTTAATATGTTATAGTCATGCATGTACACAAACATTCTGAGAGAGAGAAATTGCAACTAAAATAAGTTCCATTTTCGATTTCCTTAAGTTCTGACTTTTCCGATATAGCTGAAAATTCTTTGGTACTCTGTATTTTAATTGGATGCTTCTTTTATAATGGCTTTCGTTTGTTTCGTAAATTGGAGTCATAAATGAAAATTGCTTTGGAAATTCATCATTTGGATTTTGGATCGCAGTATCGTGTTCTTATTGTATTCATGTTGAATTGGCCTAGCTGTATTGGATTTTAAGAAGCAGCCACTATACTAGATCACTGTAGAACATATCTGAATTAATCAGTACTTCCATATTTGACAATGCTCACTCTCAAGCCATTGCTATGTATTTGTGCAACTTGTGATTGTCAGAAAAAAATTTCTGTTAATTTTATTGGTTCTGCAAAAACTTTTCTTCTTCGCCATAATAAAATGCTTGTTACCACAAAAATTGCAGCGAAGAAGCAGAGAACAATACAAGTAATGGAGTTGCATGATCTCCCGAAACCGAAGCAAGGAATGCATCAGAAGCATCCTCCACCTAAATCAGGATCCCATAACAGGCATTGGAATAGTGGATGGCGCCCATAATAGCACTTCTCTCTACTTTTCTCAAAGGCCACGGGACGAGAGAGAAAAAATTCTGAAAACACGTCTCTCTTTGCTGCAGCGGACCCAAACTTGTTCTTAGATGAGAGAGATTCAATAAATGCTTGTATTTTTTTCGACAACATAAAGGCGACCCATTATTGCTTATGCAACAGGGGGGAAAATTCCCATGTTTCTCTATTGATAGGGGAGGAGAGAAACAACCATGCTCTCTTCTCCTTTTTGTTCGAGATTCAAAGAATTCTAGTTGCAAGAGTCATCAAACTCAAGTGGGCAATAGAAAAATCATACAAGGGACTCTGCAGTGTTTTAAAATTACCAGATTCTAATGGCTGGGCATAGTGACCTTGAAGAGAGAGAGGGACACTCTTTTGAGTCTTAATTTCTCGGATGTTTGTTCTGATATATAAATGTGTAGACATTTGAGTACAGAGATTAATCCAATTTATATATAGTTATATGGATAGGCCTGTACCTTCTTTCTGCTTTATTCATGGAACAGGATGGTGACCACTGCAAATCCCTGTATATGCCAATTTTGATACTTTGGAGACCATGTTTAACAGGTCTTAACTCTCTCTCTCTCTCTCTATCTATCTCTCTCTTCCCCATGTGTGTGTATGTGTTTCTCTCTGTCAAAAGGATTTTTTGATTTCATAGTCATCTACCCGAGTCTTAAAACGTTATTGCAACCAATGCTTTATAAATAACTGAATCACTCTGGTGCGGATGATTTGTGGCTCACCAAACCCCAACCAGAGCCGAGTTGGGTGAGTCTGAGTCAGCTCGAGAGTTCTAATGAGAAAATTCATTTCTCTTGAGAAACTTAGAGACTAGCTGATTCTGGGGGTTTGCAGCATAGAATCGCCAAGCTCTCGATCTAGCCCGACTAAGGTGAATCCTTTGTCTCTCTACTGAACACCACCCACTTGGGGTATCGATAGAGTCTCTGACTCTCCTTCCCCTGATAGTGAAAGAACCACCATGCCCAAACAAGTACACCCCTACCACATGTTTGCTGGGCCTACTTAGAGAGAGAGAGTACTCCTTTTAGAGAGAGAGAATCTAAGGAAACAGTAGCACAACTACAGAGAGGGGGAGGGACAGTTTGATTGATTGATTTTTACTAGTAATAGTTTTTTTTTATTTTTTTTATGAGTGTTTGAGGTGGTGCGCTTTACTTTTACATTATAAGTTTCAAGTAATTCGCATTTATATTTTTATAGGAAAAATATAGAAAAAAATCATTTTTTTTTATTATAAAAAAGTCAACCATTTTTATCTGGGAGATTTCACCGTCACTCGTAAGTGTGTAATTTTGTAATACACCCGACACCATCAAATTTGAAATCTAAATGTCAGGATTAATTGCAACTTCCTTGTAACAAAGATATGTGGTCTTATTGTATACAATCTCATTTTTATATAAATATGCAGTTTATATATTGTTTTAGTACCTTATATATGGGCACATCTCAACTTTACTAGCAGATGCTCTATAGTACCCATGATGGCCTGAAAAATCTATTCTTACACATTTACTTTTATCTTTAATTATGAAATTTAAAGCTACAAACAAATGGTGATGTGGATATACTTGGAAATACCTACGGTATGCCGATTCATGTACCGTTGTAGTAAATGCCAAACGGCCTGGATCGAGTCTGGGCCGATTTCACGATGACAAATATTTGACAGTGTTTTATTTTTCATTTTTTTTCTACAAATCAGAATGATCTGAAATCTGAAGCATATGTTCAGAAAAATAAAAGAATCTACGAAAAATATCAAAAAATTATTTTACATGAAATAAATTAACCAAAATACCTTTAAAATTTTCCAGGGGTATTTTGGTCAAAAAATCACAAATTATTTTTTTTATATTTTTATTCAGTGCGTTTTACTAAGATGTACACACGCTCCAAATTTCACGTCATTCCAATTTGTAGAAAAAAAAATTAAAATTCAAACACTCTCAGACAATCATGACCGTCAAATCGGCTCAAATTCGTTCTGGGCCATTGAGCGTTTACTGTAGCGGTATGCACATGGGCGTACATAAACTTTTTCCATATATATATATATATGAGTAATCATCCTATAAGACCCTCTCAAACCCATGTGTGTAGGACCTTAAAGGATCACCATTAAATTTTGTGCATATCTCTAAAAAAGTTATTTCAAGGGTATGAGACTTGACTTTTTTAGAGATCTATACCAAATTTAATGGTGATTATTTAGTGTACTGCACACATGAATGTGGGAGGGTCTCATATGATCAATACTTTATATATATATATATATATATATATATATTGGTATGGGGAAGTGAGAGTTAGTGATTATTCTTCCAAGGCAATCGGTTGTATACTATTTTACCACGCGCAAAAATATTGTGGCACGTGGGACAGAATCCCTCATAAGTCATAATAACCATGATGAACGGTGATAGATGATAGTGAAAAGCTAGGTTTCTTTCAAATCAACGATGCACGAAATAATACTTCAGGGCATACACAAAATGTGAAATGCAAGAGTGGTGGATAGTGAAATCTACCCTACTAAAACATTGCCCAAAAAAAAAAATGTTATGAATGTTGGGAAAACTTTCTTATTGATCATGTTGACCTCAAGATGGATAGATATAAAGAAAAATAAATTTCAAATATTATGAATAGTGCACTTTATAATATGTTATTTGGGCTATTTGTTTTCAAGATTCTTATAAGTTTATAGATCCACTTGATTTGCACTATTTTTAGAAGGAAAATTGTTTCATGCGGGCTGGACCGCATTTCTACAATATGCGGTCCCAAGGTATAAAGCGTCCACCTTAAAGATGGATGCAAATAGGTGGTCCATCTAGAAACAGATGAAACTAACAATCTAAATGTTCTCTTCATAAAATGATTATTTTATTTCTTATATATATATATATATATATATATATATATATATATGATCTCCATGTTAGATATTATGTGTCTTTAAAAAAATTGGTTCTGAAAATCTATACCAAAAATAGAATTTTAAGAGTTGACTCATTTCTACATGGACTCATAGAAACCGTCCATTTTGGAATTTAGAATTTAGATTTTGAAGTCATCGTAAGGTTTCTGACATCAGAAATGCTTCTTCAAACAAAATTTAGAGGTGGGCCTTGTTGGTATAGTATAAAGTGGGTACACCCATAAACAAATTCATACATTCTATGTATTATTTCCTTTTTTATTTTTTTCCTTCAATTAAAGTCTCTATTTGATGAATTATTCTCAAAAAAGGTTCAAGTGCAGTGCCCTCCAAAATTTCATAGATGAAGATGGATTTATGATCTGAAAATGCCTCTTAAGTTGTTCTATATGCATTTCAGTTTTATATCCATGACTTTGCAACTCAAAAAGATAATGCAATTCTGCAAAAAATTAAAATCAACACGCCAAAAATAAAGTTCTATTAGTTTGTTTTTAATGTTTGCAATATATATATTTTTATATTCATGATTGTGATGGTCTAAATTATCAATTTTTGACACTTCAAATTAGTAAGGTTGTTCCATTTTCGATTAATTTTTTTTCAAGTATTATTGGTTTTTTTCCTTTAGATATCCTTTAGATATACTATTTGAAACTCTTTGTTGTATTTACATATAGATTGGATTCTTGGACATACGGTGATGCACTTGACTTTATTTAAGTGCAAGTTCCTTTTGTGAAAATCTTGAAAATGGACGGTTTAGATAATGTGTTGCAAGATGCAATATTTTTGGGACTCAAAATCAATTTTTTAAAAAATATTCATACACCTCATTGTCGAGATGATCAATTAGAGGGTTTTTCAATATTAAAACAACATTTTCTAATGGATTTTTGAGGTGCATATGTAATTCTACATTTTAAGGTTACAACCTTTTATAAACTTTTTCTTTTTAGAATTTATTTGCATATTAATTTTATATGTTATATTTCAATACACAATCAAAACAATATACATGAGAAAAATTAAGTTCAAAATTTTTTTTCATTTTCACTATTTAAAATGATATATTTTAAGATTCAAAATGTTTATTGTTTCAAATTTAGAATCGTTCACCTTGTGAAAATTTAGATCGAAAAAATAAATGAATTTTAGGAAGAGGCCCCATAAGAACATGAGAACATGCATGGACCGAAACATGTTTCAAAATTATTTATTTAAAATGTTTCTATTTATTTTCTCTATCTTGTTCCTTTGACTGGTAGGATTAGGGTTTGAACAAGTGAATCATGGGTGACGCGTTCTATTGTCCTCAAATTTATTTTTCTAACAGTACGACTTGTTCATTCATTGACTCACCTAAAAACTGTGTGGATTTTGAAGTTTATGTGATATTCAAGTAACGTAAAGGAAAAAGTTTATATAGAGCCAAATTAGAGCCTACCTCAAAACTGTGATTAGAATATGTTGTTTTGATGCCCAAATATCATCAAATTGATATTATCGACAACATGATGCATACACATGAGAAAAAAAAAATTAAATTAAATTTCGAAAATAGTGTATCTTGTAACGCATTTTTCAACCGGCAATTTTTTAGATTTTCAGGTTTTTATAGATCTCCTCGATCTACACTATTTTTGTAGCTTTAAGTTTTATAATTAACTATGAAAATATATTTTAAGGCTATCACAAAACTTTCCAGTATTGAAACCATTTTTTTCGACACTATTTGAAAGTGGGCTTTAATTTGATTGTTTAGAGCTTTGGCTCTATACAAACCGCACCCTAACTTAGAAAAATACTTGAGTCAATTAGGGTTTTTCAATATGGTTTTGACTTGAGCTCCCTCTGGATCCCCGAATCCAGGTGGGTTCACCCCTTGGTTGCAAAAAATGGATATGGGATGCATCGTTCACTCGCAAACTCGAATCTGATTGTTGGTTGGTGATCTAGATCGGGTTTGAATCGATCCAAATTGATAATCCAAATTATATTTAAAAGAAATAAAACAAATTAAAAATTAAAATAGGGGTTTATGTAGTCAGGATTTAGAGTGGATCTAAGAAAGCATTCAATAAGCTTAATAAAACTAAGAAAAAGATTAGAAGGAGGGTTTAAGGAGGAACAACCATGACCCATCCTAATCGATTTCTATTGAAATTAGCGATCCAGATCGAAAATTGTCTAGTTTTAAAGCACTGATTAGCCTTATACAATGCATCAGAGCTTTATCTTAGCCTTTCCATGTCGGCAGTCATGAAAATAACAGTGCTTAACATGTTGTCAATAGGCGGCTTTGCAATCCCAAAAATCGCACCTTACCCATGTGTCAGACACCACCAATTCGATTCTGACCCAGTGAAATTTTATTATCAGTGATTAAAACTAGGATCTACGTCTTAAATAATATTTTATGTAGCAGTAAGGTTGTAGCAATCTACATATTTATTTTATTAAAAAAATATATATAACAACTTAACGTAATATTAAA